GGAGTTCTTAACTAGGTGCAAGGTTGGTCCCAATATGTTATTCTCCCGCGCTCGAGTAAATCCAAAAATCCCCGCTTGGGCTCCCCAACTATAATGTTTGCTGTCAACCATCAATTTGGAATCTTTAAATATTAATAAATAATTAAAAAAAAACTTTCATTCCTTAAAAACAAAAAAATACCCTTAAACACTCCTTTAAAATACTATTTTTGTTTTAAACTGGAGCATAAGGACAAAAGAGACTATCTTATAATTTTCAAGTTTTGGTATCGAATTACAAAAACCCTTTCGAAACAAACTTGCTCATTAGGCATTAGAGAGCCAAAGCGCATTTAAGACATTGCGATTTGTAGACAAAATAACATTTAAGCAATTACAATTTCTAGGCAATCTTCTTCTTATTCTATTGACGTTGTTTAGTATTTGACATACTAAATCCTTTGTCTCATTTTTGCATCATCTCTCTCGCGCTCTTCCACATTATTATTGATTTAAATTAGATTAACTTTATATTAGCATACAAAAACGTGTGTATCTTCATCATCATCATCATCATCACCATCAGCCTCTTTATGTCCCCGCTGCTGGGGCACAGGCCTTCCCTATGGATGGAATAGGGAGATTGGGCCACGACCCACCACGCGGGCCCAGTGCAGATTGGCGGGTGCTAACGATTGCAGATGCAACCGGGACCAACAGCTTAACGTGCCTTCCGAAGCACGGAGGAACTGGAGATAGAAATTTTTGGTCACCCATCCAATGACCGACCACTGCGAAAGTTGCTTAACTACAACGATCGCAGCCAAACGCGCTAACCACCTGCGCCATCAAGCTCCTCGATGTGTATCTTAAGTGTAAAAATATAGTGATTTTGACGTGACGTATCAGGCATTTTTGCAGCAGTGGCATCTTGCATTATAGGCACTGTGCTCATAAACGAATAATGTTTAAAACAGAAGAAGATTGCTCTTTAACTTTTCGAGTTACAGCCAATAGGTGAACGGCAAGGTTAAATAATAAAGTATGATTCTCTCCCGAATCATAATTTTAGCTTTGATCTCTATCCGATTGATTGATTTATTTATTTGACTTGATTGATTGCGATGAGAACAAAGGTTCTAAAGTAATAACGGCTCCATTCATCTATGATTACAATCAAGAATATTATTGTTATTAAGTTTCTTAATTAATGTTTTTAATTTACTTGTGTGTACCATACAAGATCAAAGATTGTGATTTTTCGTGATAAAAATACACGTTTTAAAGCGGTATGAGCTTTACCAAAAAAAATATTATTACTAAAATTGAAGCTCATAAAAAACAAACAAACCGTTACTTTGAAAAACCTTCTAATATAAATTCAAAGTGAGGTATAGGTAATTGTATGTATATTTTTTTCGGCGAGTACTTAAATCTAAGTATTTAACGGGAAACTGACGTATTTTATGACATATTAATACTTCCTGAACACTTTTTAAAGTCTTTAGAAATACCTTTCTAATAAGCTCTGTCAAAAGTTAATACCATCAAAATTGAGCAAGTTATGATTAAAATAAGGTGAAAAAACGACAAATTAAACCTTCACCATTTTCACAAAAAGCAAATTTATGGTTATCCCTAAAGGACTTTCTTTTTGTTAGCATAAGTGATGACCTCAAAAAATTTGCCCGGTTTTGAATACTTATTTTTTAAAAAACTATGATTTAATAAAATCGAAATTTTTCATAATTTCGTAAACTTCATTTTCTTCTACTTCAAAAATATTGAATATTCGTAAAAAAATATAGAAAACGCAATTTGAATTCTTTTTTTAACAAAGGTTTTCGTTTTTATTTTATTTTTATAGGATGGAAAATAACCGAGATAGAGATGTTTAAACCCTAATTTTTACTGCGAGAACCATGTAACTGGGACCCTTTAACCGTTTATCTTTAAATAAATAATTTAATATTAATATAAAATTATAAAAAATATATGCATACAATTACCTATAGCTCACTTTGAAATAATATCAGAAGGTTTTTCAAAGTAGAGGTCTGTTATTTTTTTTTAGCTTCAATTTTAGTAATAATATATTTTTTTTTGTAAAAACTCATAGTTTTTGAGTTATTTATGAAAAAACGCTTGAAAACATATATTTTTATGACGAAACATCACAATCTCTGATCTTCAATAACTCAAAAAGTATCGATTTATCCCAAAAATTTTATATTACAAATTTTGCTAAGAATTTATTTCTCTATCGATTCCTGGAGTTACTTTTATTAAAATAATTTTTACCCCCGAGAAGGGGTGGCATCTACTCCCAGGGCAAAAGCATAAATTGGCACTATGTCACTTTTGTTTTTTAAGGTATCCTCCACCTACTCACCAATTTTCATGACAATCGATGGAGGTTCAACGAAATCGGAGGTTGTAACTGATTTAGGCCTTCATTGAGTGGACTATTATTTCTTCAACGCATTCTGTAAAAACGTGTAATCTAACGACGCATATTTGAATGCCATTATGTAACGTACCTTAATAATCGTCCCATGGTTTCGACTATCATAGGTTCCATTTCGCACATATTATCATATAACATCATCGATATTCATCAGGCATCATCATATATTTTATTATGTATTTCTGGAAACACATAATTTCAAAAATATCACACACTATTCATCATTTTGTAAATATAATTCCATCTGTACTGAAAATCACTATTCCAGAGTGTTGGACACTTACCGGCATTTCTCTTTATTCTGTTATTTATTTGTTTTCATTAATTTTGTTGCGATTTTATCTATTTTTAGTTTATTTATTTTATTGAAATTTATGACAACTTAATGTTTTTTATCCGTTGTCATGGCTACCCATGACACGGATACTCTCTCCAACTACGTCTATGACTATTCAACCTCCACAGACCACCTACTTTGATTATTTTTAGTTCTATTCGAACCGTGTCTAAATTCAAATGGTTCCGGACCTATAAAAGGCCGAGCCTCCCTGATCATTGATTCAATTCTACGGCAAAAGTTGCCTACTCAACTTTTGAAAGCTCGCTACCGAGCTCTAAATTAATAAAAGGCCTTGTCCTTCAAGATCAAGAAAGACCTCAAAGCTATATAGCACCTATTGGCTCTCTAAACTACTTAACTCTACTACTCTTCTCGTTATCTTTACGTACTCGCAACCTCATCGGTGGGACTGCCGCCTGGACTCCAGCTTCTTCGGCCAGCCTCCAACTGCTTCAGCCCGCCTTCTACCGACTCCTGCAGTTCCTTCAACTCCTGCCACTGGCCGATATTCGCAAGACCTAAGACGGCTGAACAGGAGTGCTTCTGCCACCAAGGAGCGCCGTCCATCTGCCTGCAGCACGACCTACCGTTCAAGCCGCCCCTGAAGATCGCCTACGACCCACGCCCACTTCACCACTTCCACTTTACACCCCACACTTCACACACATACCATACCCCCATTTTTTTTTATAATCTGTAAATACTTTTTATTCTTGTAAATATATAGATATTTTATATCCTCTACCTGTTTTCATTCTTTCTTATTTTGTCGCTACACGACAAATAATTATGTTAACCATGTTATAAACTATCTTCACACTATAAGTAACTTAGGCCGATAAACATAAAGGATAATTTTTGAAGCAGCGCCATCCAGGGATTGTAACCGGTTTCGAAAATACCGGTAAATAAAGTTTTATACCGGTTTTTAGTAAAGGTTTCATTCGGAGCGCGTCCGAAATGAAAGCGGTACCTAAATCTTAATAAACCGGTTTAATCCAGAGCGATACGTGCAAGAGTCGACATCGCCTGAAGTTTGTTTTGTTTGAACTAATCAAGTCACAACTTGTTAATGCTCAGAGATTGATGCATTTATTGACACGTTTGCTAGCGTCTAGTGAGTCAAGTTATTCATTTAGTAGTTGTGTACTGACACACTACTTCACTCACTCGCTCTGTAGTTGGAAAGAAACTGACATAAAATCATTATAAATTTGAATTGAAACGGCGTAGGCGATGCCGTCAGTAAGAGCGAAATGAAACCCTTTAAAAACCGCTACATTGATTCAAACCTATTTGATTTCGCTTTTTAGGAAAACCGGTTTTTTAAGGTTAAGGTAGAGCCAAACCTAAATAAAACGCTCCTAATGTACTTGATACTGATTTAGGTTTGAAAATTAACCGGTAAACAAGCCCGGGCGCCATCTATGAGATTTCAAAAACATCAAGTCGATATACATGTGTAAGCACTTTTTGCATATAAATTAATCTATGAGATTTCAAAAACAGTCCTATGTTATTGAAGTAAGAGACTTGAAATTTAACATGTATGCTCTATAGATGGTGTAGGGTGTACTAGTAATGTATCTTTAGAAAGAAACCCCCTTTTGGGGTCAAAAAGTATGTGCAAATAACTAACTCCACGCGTACGAAGTCGCGGGTAGGGATGAAACGATGCCATCTAGGTATCGATACTTTTAGTCGATACTGTATCAGACATAAAGTATCGATGCCTACTCGGTGTCGAATGAAAAGTATCGACGCTTACTTGTATCGATAAATTTTGACAAACGATATTACAATTACAAATTCAGTCACAGTTTCAATTTAACGAAAACAAAATAACGGCTCACGCTACGCCATGGACAAACGACTAACTAAATAAATTGGAATAAATATAAATCATACGCAAGGCTGCCAACTGAGCAGCAGAAAAGATGCGTTCGCGAAGCAAAAATTTCAACTAGACACCTTACTATAGAGTAAGTAATCTGCCGAGTACCGACACAAGTACTTACTTCACGATACTACTTGTTACTCAGTTCTAAAGTATCGATGCCAAAAGTACTTGGTATCGAAAGAAAAGTATCGAGTATTTACTTGTATTTACTCGTATCGTTCCATCCCTAGTCGTTTATGTATTCTATTCGTTACCCTAGGCTAAGCTAATTGGTGGTAATGCTGGAAATATTTATTTTTTTATTATTTATTCAGGGTGGATGGCAGTTGGTCTGTGCATGCCGGATCCTCCAAGGCCTGACCCAGGCTTTTGTGTACCCTTGCATGCATCACCTAATCAGCCAATGGATACCCCTGGAAGAAAAGGGGCTCTTGAGCACTATTATTTATGCAGGTCAGTATTAACTTAAATCTATCCTAAATGCTTATATATTGTTACGTGTCGGGATGGGGTTCGAAATTTTATGGCAGTTCACGCTTGACAGTTCTTTATTCACCACACAGTTCACACAATTAACACACAATGTTAGTTACAGAACACTCACTAAACACTGTATTTCACTATACAAGTCACTAAACTATCGCACTGGAATACTTTTGTTGCACTTTGATCGCCTTTGGATTCGCTCCGAAATCGCTGTTGAAACTCAACTGTCTCTGCGCGGCGCCAATTGCGCTTATATACGCCGACCGACGCATTCTAGAAAGTACCTGTTAAATGGAGAATTAGCTAGCACCCACGAGTACGAAGTACCTACTTATACCTACGCAGGTAATGCGCATAACTTGTAAACAAGTGCAGATATCGTTGCACTTTCTCCCTTACGCCGCACTGCATAAGCCTCATTTTAGAATGAGCCGCCTTGCTCGACCTCTATCGCGACCCGCGGTGATCTGGCAAATTCGAGCTCTAGCACTTTCGCGGTTACGTTTCGAGAGCGTTTGTGACAATATTCTTTTCATAAAAACCTATTAAATTACTCTAACCCTCCCTGAACTAAGGGCGGGTGGTAACGACTTAAAAACATACTTAGGCATTGTTTTATCATATAAAGACAAAATATTATCAATATTTCTTTTTGGCGTTCACATGTACGTCGTTTGCATGTCAAGTTGTGACTAAAGCGATTAGGGTCGTGGACCACAATTTGTACGGATCACTTTTGTGAGGCTAGTGCCGTATCTACCGTTTTTGTTTTAATCTAAGGTAACTAACATAACTTAAGCATGTCACGAAAGCAGATAAAGAGCTTCAGTATGTTCGGATTGGCTTCAGCTAGACGACGCCGCGCTTACGGCTCGCCGTCAGCTGGTTGACGGCTAGGCGGTACTAGTTTGATGAGTTACAGCGAAAGCAGCGTAAGCTAGAGTATGGAGAGACGTAAGTTAGACTACGGACAGACGTAAGCTAGACTACGGAGTTAAAAGCCTACACCCCAGCAGTGGGAACATTAATAGACTAATAATGTTGACTAGCAAACCAGTGAACCAAATGTTCACCAAAACCTGATTTAAAAAATGTATTTAATTAATTGAGAACTTTGGAGATTTTGTGTGGTTTCGTTTGAAATTATTTAATGAAAAAAAAAGTCAACTTTTAAATAGTTAATTAAAATTGTGATAATTACAAAATAGAAATCACGTGATTTCTCGAAAACCGGAAGTGCTACGTTACTCAAATCCTGTTTGTAGTCTTATCAGACTATTCTTAACTTAAAACATTCTCTTTATCTATCTCTTACGGTTTGGCCGCTAAAACAGCACCAAAGACAGACGGACGGACGGACTTGTCTAATAGATAAGAGATACTGAACTTAGTCGGTTGTACGTTCCTGACCGATATACGCGGCACCGACTTAATGGTAGACACACACACTATGAGAAATCGTTACGATTAGACTGTACAGTCCGAACGGTACCGATAAATCGTAGCGTGTATGTTATAAAACTGCACAGTTTCCTATACGTACGCCACGTACGATAAACTGTTCCGTTCGTACTGTACAGTCTGATCGTAACGATTTCTCGTAGTGTGTATGGCTACCATAACCATCCGCGTCGTCTCTTCGCACCACCGACACAGAATATATACACTACGCGAAAAGAAGCGACACTTAAGCATGTGTGCTCGTAAAATCGCCCGCGGCTATGTGTGGGTGTCTGGAGGTGCGCGGGGGCGTTGCGCGGCGCGCGGGGCGTGGAGACGGCAGTCGCCGACTGCCTCGACCGAAGGGATGGCAGTAGCGAAATAGTAAAATAATAGCGTTGCACTGCCTTGCACGCACAGACTGACTACGCTACGCAATCTTATTATTATTTAGATAATAATAAGAATTATAAAACGAACCGAAAAAGGAGAAAATATATAAAAGTTAGCAATTTGTTATAGTACCTACATTAAAAGATTAAAAATTGATTATAAAATCAAACCTATCCTTCATTATTTACCCCAGTATCCTTGAATCAGTTTACATTTAATAACTTACTATGCATAAATATTCATTGGCACAAGTCTAAATTCCAAGTTCAACCCTAGCGCATACACGCTCCTGCTCAAGGTCACTGACGCTGGAACTCTCACGTACAGAGAGTGTCACCGCTGTGTCACCGCACCGTTTGCCCGCACTGTTACCCGCTCTCAATCTCCTCTTTGTCGCATTATGACTGAACTTAATGCGCTCCTGGCTGATAAGCCTGAGTGTGATGTGTATGCAGATGGATGGAATAAAATAATGTATGACTGCCTTTGTTTAGCGAGAAAAATTAGTGTGAATCCTCATGTTTGTAATTCTTTGTTTTTTTTTTACTAATTGCTGTAAATGGTATTTTACCGTAGTAATTAGAATAAATAAATAAATAAATAAAAATGTTGAAAATCTAATAGGAAACAAGCTTGATTATAGCAAATACGTGGTTGTCTGGTTTACCAGACTCACACTGAAACCGGAATACACAAAGATAGGTAAATAGATTTCTCAGAATGTTTTTAATTAAACCTATAAAATAAATAAAAGCATATCGTTTCAATTGGACACTTTTCTTTTTTCATTGATATAAAAGTTAATTTCAATCTAAAAAATAAATGTAACTACAGAGGATAGTAATTTTACGAGAGGAATTGGATCCAGGACAGGTCACCGGGATATAAATTATTTATCTAAGAAACATTTTACTCTACATAAAATAATATATAATCTTCTTGAAAGGATAGTCGTTTTAGGATGAATTATATATTTCTTGAGAAATAAACACCGTCTTGTTCAGCTGAAGGGACTTAAAATGCCTGAGCCTGATAAATTGATGCCCCTGTCAAAGGATCTGTTTTATCATTCAGATAAAAGAACCCATACTATGAGAAATTCCAGTGAATCTAATTTATAGGAAGGAAGTATATTTAATTATATTGTCATTTCTTTGAAGATTTTAGTAATAAAATTCCATTGTTCAATTAACCGTTCCTTCTCTAATAATACAGGTAGGACTGAAATAACGTTAAAATATATTGTTTTAAACTTTCATGATCACTAACATTATAGATATTAACGGGATTGTTGCCATGAACCTTGTTTTTTGTGAGTCTCCGATATTTCGGCACTATTGCAAGCGCCAGGAGTAACTGAACTAATTGCGGGTAGATGTTATTGGCAGACATATCGGTCTACCCTCTGACGTCGTCTTTTACTGCGTTCGATACCCGTACCACTGGTCACATTCTCACTATTCACTCGCGTTTGTTCCCGGCACACAATACTCACAGTATCAGACCGCGAAACGACCCTTTTTTATTTTTGCGGTTTTTACACATACGAACCACTGGATTCCACACACTAGACAATTTAAACCCATCCTCACGATTGAAATTCTTGTGTTTGGTTATTTCAATCGCTTCCCTGACTAATCTTGGTATGTAGTGGCGTTCTGTCGAGATAATTTGTGGATTATGGAGCTCAATCCAGTGATTAGGACCCGAATTAATTACATGTTCCGCGATGGCTGATTTTTGCGTATCATTATTTCTGACTGCGTTTATGTGTTCTTTCATTCGGCACGCTATTGTCCGCTTCGTTTGGCCAATATCAAATATCGGAGACTCATAAAAAACAAGGTACATGGTAACAATCCCGTTAATATCTATAATGTTAAAATAAATTAAAAAATATTAAATTGACAAATAAATTTACCGTTATAAAAAGTAAACATCGGTAACTTAAAACAAAGTAAATAAAATATTAAAGACTAGCAAACCAGTGACCCAAATGCTCACCAAAACCTGATTTCTCGAAAACCGGAAGTGCTACGTTACTCAAATCCGGTTTGTAGTGTTATCAGACTATTCTTAACTTATAAATTAAATATTCTCTTTATCTATCTCTTACGGTTTGGCCGCTGAAACAGCACCACAGACGGACGGACTTGTCTAATAGATAAGAGATAAGGCAGTTAACAGACATGTAGTTTTTTATCTACTCAAATGAGAAAATGTAACCATATTCAGATGTATTTTCCCCAACATATACATTTTCATGTTAAACGTTGCCGAGACGAGACCATCTCACACTGTCTGAAAGTTAATCAGATCTCATGGAGAGCCAAGCTTCTAACTCTACACTCCCTTACAAGAAGGCCAAACTCCATAAACTCTACATCATCAGCCTATTAATGTCCCCACTGCTGGGGCACAGGCATTCCCTAGGGATGGAATAAGGAGATTGGACCATGTCCCACCACGCGGGCCCATTGCGGATTGGCGGGTGCTAACGACTGCGGATGCAGCCGGGAATAACGTCTAAACGTGCCTTCTGAAGCATGGAGTTACTCGAGATGGTAGATTTTTGGTCACCCATCCAATGACCGACCACTGCGAAAGTCGCTTAACTTCAACGATCGCAGCCGAACGCGCTAACCACCTGCGCTATCGGGCTCCTCATAAAACTAACTGTAAACTCTACACCTTAGTCAAAATATCTGGCTTCGGTCGTTTCGTTACTACAAGAACTCATTGTATAGCAGCAAAGAAATAAATAGTGAATAAATGTTGCACCTAATGGCGAAAATTTAGATTATCAAAACAAAATTGTAATACTGAGTGAGGAAATTGGAAAAAAAAAACCTTGGGACTTCTTCTACCTGGTATTGGACAATCAACAATCAACTTTTGTCTGGTGCCTCATATTAAGCTACTTTAGAAATGGCATGTAATCAGCAATCTATATATATAAAACTTAAAGGTGACTGACTGACTGAAATAGTGATCTATCAACGCACAGCCCTAACCACTGGACATATCGGGCTGAAATTTGGCATGCAGGTAGATGTTATGACGTAGGCATCCGCTAAGAAAGGATTTTGATCAATTCTACCCCCAAGGGGATAAAATAGGGAATGAATGTTTGTATGAAACTTTGTCAATTTTAAACCGATCGGGCTGAGACTTTGCATCATAGATGAATGTCAATGTGTATAATACAAGCCTGAGAACAAAAACTGTAGTCTACACTTCAGCTCTACACCGAAGCGAAGCGAGGGCGGGTCTACACTTCAGCTCTACACCGAAGCGAAGCGAGGGCGGGCCGCTAGTATAGTATAAGCACAACCTTGTTGTTTTTTATGGGAAATAGGGGTAATTTGAACGAAAAAAATATAAATCAGTATATAAACAGATTAAGTACTTTAAATGTGATTAAAAATTGTAATGACACATTTCCTTACTGCAACAGTTTGCCATGGAGGAAAATAATTTAAAATATAAATTAAAGGACAATGTTAAAATTGGCCTAAGATCCAACACCAATTTGGCATTTATGATAATTCCTAGTATATTTTTTGCGATAATTATCGGTATTTAGATTGTGACGGACACTTCCAGTTAAGTAAGGTAAATTAAAAAGTTAAAAATAATCTGAGACAATAAATACCATTTTATGTGTATAATCTATGGCAGCGCTGCAAACAGAACACTCTTTCTTCCTAATGCCGGCACTTCACTTGGCTATTCGTATTTGCTATTTTAAAACATGACATCAGTCTGTCCTTTTCATTCCTTATTAAGCATGACAAGGACAAACTGATGTTAAGTGAAGGGCCGGCATAAAACTCGTTACTCTGTGGTTGTGGTGCAGGCAGTTTGCATTCGTAGTAATCTGTGACATTCTCAATTCATGTTGACCTATGTTTCATTGAATATGAAACATAACCTCAAAACATTTTTAGTATTCCTAATAATTTAAGCTCTCAGAAGTGTCCGTCAATAGTCTTTCTTTTAACAGTCATTTACTTACGATTTTGAACCTAGAAAATAATATTTCATGATTGTTGGTTCTTAGGCTAACTATGTATGGACGCTGAACAATGTCCTTTGCAATTGTATACAATATGCAAAAGTGAGAAATTTCAAATAATTGACACTAACATTTATTTTTAAAGCATGTAACTGCTCGATGTTTAAATCTAAAGAAAATATTACTAGTAAATATTCCACCGCAGCCAAAAATTTACAATCTTTATGCTTCGAAAGTAAGATAAATCCGTTGGTCCTGTATAACACAAAAAAAAACTAAAAAACAAGCTAAAAAACTAAACTAAAAACCAGTGCTGCCTGGTCCGCGTGGGTACCCAGTGCAGCTTAAGAAATGCTAGGAAAAATTCGACACTACGCTTCTACAATAAAGTCCCTAGCAATATCCAAAAATTATATATAAATAAATAAATTTACAGCTACCATTAAAAGAATTCTTATTAATATTTATAATACTTATATTATTATTTGTAGAGTGTCTGTTTATATTTCAGACAAAAATGCTTGGGTTTAAACTGTATTAAAAATTAATGTTCCGGCAGGGTTTTTCTATAATTATGATGAAGATGATATGATTTTGTATTGACACCGTAACACTATAATATTTTGAAAAATATTCTTACATAAAACTAGTTTTTCACGGGTTAATGCACGAAACTTTATTTATTTATTGACGTTTCGCAGCCTTCACAGGCTGCTTCGTCGGAATCAATTTTTTATTTAATTTTGTCGAGCTACCTTCAAAAGACTATTATTGAGCGTTCGGTTAATTTCATTGTTCGATTTTTAAAGTTTTATTATCTATGTATGAATTTATTACTTAATTTAGTTAATAAAGTACTTTATTTAAAATACTTTTTTGTAATTTTGAGTTTATTTATTTGACCCTAACTACCGTAAACTACCACCGGTTCCAAAATTGGGAGACCTTTCTGAGAAGAACCGGCGAAACAAACTCAAGAGAGGCTTTCTATATCTCCTTCTTATGTTAAATTATGGAAACAAAAAGAACTAATAGTATCTGTTGGTCTTGCAGTGTGTGCTCGGGATTGGGATTTTATCTACTGTATAATGGGTTCCCAAGCTGGTGGTATATACCAACCATCTTCCCTATTGAAATTTGGATATTTTTTAATCTCAATAGCCTCGCGTATCATTCTAGGAATGAATCGTTGCTCAGTTGCAAGGATCTGTGGTTTATCAAATCTAATATAATGGTTTGGTCCCCCTTATTTATTTAATTAGTGATGTGTGTGAAAACCTAAGAAACAAAAATATTCTTACATAATTATTAAATAATTTTAACGCTGTGAAGTACTTTCGCCAGTTTTTCTCCACAGCTAAAACAAAACTCTTTAACTGGTGGTAGGGAAAAATATGGACGTCATAAAAGAGTTGTATTGCGCATCCAATTTGAATAAGGATAATTTGAGTTTGACTTTGATATATTATATTAATAGTAAAAGTCGAAGCAAGTTCACATATTTTGATGATGTCGATCGACTTAAACTCTACAAACCCTAGATCCATGGACCTATCAACGGTTTGAATAATAAAATCCAAATAAATGTCAGCCAGCTTGTCCATGCCACAGTTCGTTTTTTACCGGGTAAAATGCGGTTAAACTCTCAATTAAAAAAAAACATATGATATCATAACCCAAACCACACACTTTCAGTTAAAACTGAAACACTTATGAACAGTATCCCAAATCAAATATTGAAAGAGCAATAATCCAATTGGAGCAATTAAAACGTCTGACCGCATTTATTTCTGGCTGCCTCGGGCGAGGACTGTACACTACGGAAAACAATGCGAACTAAATGTTTACATCTGAGTTGCTTGTTTGTTGACGATTATGGATGTTAAACATCTAAAACAGAGCCAGAACATCAGATGGGTGACCGAAAATTATTTGGTCTGATCGCTTCTAAAGGCTGTTCTAAAGATGAAAATATATTAATTAGATACCTTTTCTTTCCTTTAACTTTTCTTGTAACGCAACATGTGATCCAAAATTATTTTGGCTGATCTCTTCTAAAGGCAGTTCTAAAGATAAAAATAAAGTAGATAGATATCTTTTCTTTTCTTATAACGTAACATAGTTTATACTCTCATTATTTCCAGACTGTTTGTTTTCTCACTGCTGGAGCACAGCTCGTGTTTGTACGCCATCGGCCTGGGTCTTGTGTCAGTTTCGACCATTCGGGCGCTTTTAGCTAATTTATATCTCTTAGAGCTCGATAGTACAGTAGTTAGCGTGGTTTGCAATCGTGGAAGTTCAAAAACAAGACCAAAAATTTACAATCTCCAGCTATTCTGTACTTCGGAAGTAAGGTAAATACGTTGGTCCTGGCGGCGTTTGCAGTGATTATCACCCACCAATTTCTATTGGGTGGGTCAACCCGTTCTTCCTATTCCATCTATACAGAAGTCCCCAGCAATGGGGGCATTGATAAGCTGATGGTGATTGTGAATTCTATGGCAACATTTGTCCTCTCATCAACATCTACATTCAATTAAATAAACTGTTTGTTTTATTTGTCTAGGTGGACAGCTAGGCATCGCCATCCAGTTGCTGGTCGGAGGTATGATCGCCTCAGCTTGGGGGTGGCCTGCTATCTTCTATACGAACGGCTCGTTGGGTGTTATATGGGTGGTCGCGTACCTTGTCTTCGGGTCCGCCACTCCTGAGCAGTCCAAGATCATTTCGGAGCAGGAACTGGGATATATACAGAGGTCGTTGGGAAGATTCGGTGAACAAAAAGTTAGTATGTTTCCTAGTATATTACCCCATTAAAAAAAAGTTATGATCCTAACCCTCGAAGACAAATTGCAAGACCAATATATTAATATTGGTCTTGAAATTTGTCCATTAATGCTTTTCTTTGTTTTGTGACCACGGCGACGGATAAATGTTGCTCCTCATTCACCTCACGGATTCAAATCGTCAAGACTAATGTAAAACTGCCACTAATCGAATTTCATTCATCAAAAAGTTTTATTAAAAATCTTTATCGATGTTTTCAAATTATTTGTTCCATTGTAAACGAGACTTATTGTGGCCTCATTGTAAACTTAATCTGGACGTGGATTCAGGAATGGCTTTAAAAAAAATATTTAAAAGATATATCTAAATAATCAAGCAAGGAACATTTAGCATAAGTTTTATCACAATTATTCAATACTGGACTTATGGTTTTAAAAACGTGAAGTTCCATTTCCTAGTATTACTGAAGTGATTATTCTTTCAGCACTATCCAGTTCCGTGGAAGAAGATAATGACCTGCCTTCCGTTTTGGGCTGTCATCGTGGCCCACTGCGGCCAGAATTGGGGCTTTTTCACACTCATGACTGAGATGCCATCGTACATGAGCAAAGTCCTTGGCTTTGAGTTGAAAAGGGTAAGTATCCTCGAGAGACTTCGGGAGAGGTAGGTATAGCGGATTGTCTACTCGGATCCCCTTTGATTTCTCCCATCTGGGGAAGCTATCTCCACCTTGCAGAAAGCCCTAATAAAAAAAGAGAACATCCATTCTCTGTATGAAGGTCAGGACGATCTGTTTTTATGAGTAGGTAGATTAAGTTTTGCCCGCTATAACAACGTCATTAACTTTGGTTTCGCGCAACTTTTTAATAATTTTGCAATAAGGATGCCTTACACAGTCTGAATCAGGATCTGAATCCATAATATGAATTCACGATCTGAATTCCGGTGCTTTGACTCACACTAGTCTTATAAAATTCGTTTGTTCTATGGGTAGATCAGTTGCCTCGCGGGCGTCTCTAAATAAGTATATAAAATGTCAATCACACATCAAAGAGACTAGGCTAAGTCGGATTGCATGAACTATAAAAAGATATCAGAGTTGTGCTAATAACTGAAACATTCCTCATACTGAATTTATTAATCATTAAGGCGACGTTACATTCTTCTGTGGAATTATTAAAGTAGGTACAGTTTCAAACTTATCTTATGACATTAAATAGTTTAGTTAGATTTACATATCTTTAGGAAATAGTTCACTGGATCATTGAGCAGTCAGTTACGATTTTGGTAGCTCTTTATATTAGAGTCCACGTTCATTTAAGATAGTAAAGGTCATATCAACCGCGTGGTCTACCTTGCCGACGTTATTTCACAAAAAGCATTGAAGAATTGTTGATGAATATATTTATAAAGTCAATGTAAGGATCCCTAGCGACAGGGAGATGTGATCTCCAAAAAACGGTTTACCAGTGCGTTGGAAGACGTTCTTAAGCTTCTGGATTGGAGCTGATTTGGCATCAACGTCAGCAGCAAGTACATCATTCATCTTCGATTTGCCGATGATGTAGTCTTTATGGCAGACACTTTGGAGGATCTCAATGCAATGTTCAATGACCTCAGCATAGCCTCTCAGCCATGGGCCTTAAAATGAACATGAGTAAGACGTTAGACATATAATGTTCATGTTCCACACCATTCGGTAATTGTTCAGAACTCTGCACTCGGAATTGCCTGCAAATATGTATATCTGGGACAAATAGTCCAATTTAAGTCCAATTAAGGGTAAGTCCAATTTCGAGAACGAGGTAAACCGCCGATAGAACTCAGCTGAGCAGCGTTTGGGAAACTTCGTGATGTCTTCTCGCCCAAAATACCTCAGTGTTCAAAAACCAAGGTCTTCAAACAGTGCGTATTTCCAGTGAGTGATGAAATACATAGTTGAGACGTGGTCGTTGACTATGGTCCTCAAAGGAAGGCTCAGAGTTGCACAGTGAGCGATGGAGTAAGCTATGCTCGGTGTTTCTCTACGTGATCGAATCTGAAAGAGGAAATCTGTAGAAAAACTAGAATTACTGTAATAGCTCAGTGGATCGCAATTCTGAAGTGGAGTTGGGCGTGGCACATAGTTCGGCGAACCGAATAGAAGTTGGGGTCTCTGCTTGCAGGTGCTTCAATGACGACCTCGCACCGGGAAATGCAGTGTCGGTAGACCACTCACTAGGTGGACTGATGACTTTAAGCGAGTCGGAACGACCCACTGGATGCGGAAAGCGCAAGAACATTATGCATGGAAATCCCTTGAGGAGGCCTATGTCCAGCAGTGGACGTCCATAGGCTGATGATGATGATGATTTTCGGAAGTCAAAGCTACCTATTCGCGTAGATACATATTATAGCCACTTTCTTTCAATAAAATGTTGCAAAAAAAATATTGCTTATTGAGATTACGTGTTGGTTTCTCTTCCTTATGAGCGAAAAAGAAAAGTTCTGTTCTCCCTACTGAAATCACTGATATCTGCTCAGTGTAAACACTTTCTAGTCTTCTGTGATGAGACAAATTTATAATCCGAAATAATAATAACGTGAGTGAATAGGTGTTCATAGTTCCGAGCGCATTACGTTTGCAATTCAGTGCGCTCTGAATTAATAAATGAAAATTCATATTATGAATTCAGATTCTGATTTAGATTGTGTAAGGTAAGCCTAAGAATATTTTAAGAAATATTATTATATTAGATAACTTTAAAAAAATGTTAGCTAGAATCGGTAAAGTAAGAAAAGTGAACGTTATGGCTTAATTTAGGCCGCATTGTTTGAAACATGATTAAATTTATTAATTTTGAATATAGTTAATGTCCCGTCAAATACTAAATAATTTGTGAAATTTTGACAAGTGGTTATTTTTTCTCAAGTATTTTAACTATACATAGAAATGAATTATAAATAGAATGATAGAAATAAGGTAAGTAATTTTTTGTAAAGAAATTAGTCTTGATGAAATGGCGTCTCATGCCAAGAAGAAGAAACAATAGAAAGAGGAACAAGTGTGTTTTAATACATGAACTATTCGTAGCCACTTTTTACCCCTAAACAATCTTAAATCTATGATATCTGACAATAAAGATATGATTATTTGGTTTCAATGATTCACAATAAGTTTTGAATGGTGAATAATATACATTTCTCTACAAAATTGATGATATGTCAAAAAATATAAATGTTAAAACTGGAGCCAAAATTCAATAATAATATATTATATATATATAATAATATATTATATTATAATATGCGTGGCTGTAGTAGTTACTGACAAAAAATGAAGATATTTAAATGAGAGCCATGTTTTGTTGATAATCCCTAAAATTTCTTCCCCTAAAAATCTTCATAAGAACATGCCAATTTCTAAAATAAGTTTGAAACAATTTTTTTAACTTTTATGCTTCAACAATTTTGTCTTTTTATAACTATAAGTTAATAAATTTGAATTTTGAAGTTAAAGATTTTACTTTGCCGATACAAATTCTTCAATCATATTTAGATATAAAAAGACAAAGAGATAAAGACGTCTATAGTATGAACTGTTTATAAAAAACTAATTAATATCCCGTCTCAAAATAAGTAACATCATCCCGGGAGATGACAAGATTTACAATAATAAGTCAATTGTCTTCTATAGGCTTTTAATGTTATTAGTCGTAACGATTGCTGTATAAAAAAATATATTTCGAAAAGAAAAAAGGAGAGAGGCTCCTAAACTTAATGTTTTGACTAAATAAATAAATAAAAATAAAAGATCAGATTAGGATTGTCGGAACAAATAAAACTTATCAGTACCCCTAGCACGAACCATTATCGAATTCGAATAGTTTGCAAACCGAAATGTCAATGTCAAATTTTGTATGGAAACTTAAACAGCAGCGGCACAAAGTACGTAACAAGAACTAAAAATCAGTACACATTTGACAATGACATTTCGGACTCGCAAACGATACGAATTCGATATTGGTTCGTGCTAGGGGTACAGCTTTGGTATTCAAAGTATTATTAGTAATGCTCAACGAAACTCGAACAAAAGCAAGTATGTAGCCAATGAAAATTCGTTCATCCCCACCCTTCACGTCACTGTCGAGATAAAAACAAAATCAGGCAACCAATTACCGCGCCTGACGGCTGGCCCGTTGTCGGCACTGACTGAAAAACTGGCCAAGATAGACTCGTACTTTGACACAAAGGGCTTTTAATATCAATGAATAATAAACTAACGTTTGAAAAACATTCATTGTTATATTGCGTCCATGTTACATGACATGTTAAATAACTTCTGTAATATCTTATATATAAAATTCTCGTGTCACAATGTTAGTTACCATACTCCTCCGAAACGGCCTGACCGATTTTTATGAAATTTTATATGCATATTCCGTGGGTCTGAGAATCGGCTACTATCTATTTTTCATATCCTTAAGTGATAATGGTTGTCCACCTGTAACGTAGTTTTCTGAAATCTATAATGTGCCTTCGATCGTAAATATGGGTTAGGAGAAATGTTATCCCAGGAAATTGATAAAACACTAAGTTACACGCCCCTAAAATTTTTTTTGGACAATACTTATTTTTTTATAATGTGGTATTAAAAAATACATTCAACCCTAAATTTTCTCTTCTACCACCTGCCCCTATTTTTATAGCGGTACGAAGTTCGCTGGGTCAGCTAGTACTAAATATAAGTCTTAAATTCTAAATGATGGCTTTGATTAAACGTTGGCATAACATTGTAATGTAATTGTCAACCTTTTGTTAAACTTGCTCACAAACGATGTTATACAAATTTGTAGTTAAGTCTAATTTTTATTTAACTACTTTATAGCCGGTAAGTAAATTTTGAACACGTAAAAACTGAGGGCCGGACAACTTACTGGATTATTTTTATTTGTAGTCACTCATCATCATCATCATCATCAGCCTATTAATGTCCCCACTGCTGGGGCACAGGCCTTCCCTATGGATGGAATAGGGAGATTGGGCCGTGACCCACCACGCGGGCCCAGTGCGGATTGGTGGGTGCTAACGACTGCAGATGCAGCCGGGACCAACGGCTTAACGTGCCTTCCGAAGCACGGAGGAGCTCGAGATAGTAAATTTTTGGTCACCCATCCAATGACCGACCACTGCGAAAGTTGCTTAACTTCAACGAACGCAGCCGAACGCGCTAACCACTTGTGCCATCGAGCTCCTCCTCCAGTGATTTGTAGTCACTCAACAGTGCTCAAATTTATGTACGTAGTCCTACAAATTACCTTCTAAATCGTACCTTTCATCAAAATAATTTGAATTTGGAGCTGTAGTCTGTAGCTAATACCAATAGGTATTAGCTACAGTAATATAAAAATTGAGGCTTTTCGTCTGAGTCGTCGCGTTTGACTTTAAATAGCTAACAATTTATACTTCTGGCTACAATTTTTTAGGTCCTGCTAAATCTTTATGTAAACAAGACCTACGTTTTACACGGTAGGCCCTCGCTGGGCACGCACATGGTTGAGATACCTTTAGGATCTTGCCATCCCCAAATTTGGTGATGTTGTAAAGGTCATCTGCGAGCAACAGCATACATTAAAAAAACGACAGGTTGCACTCCGGCAGTGCCGGCAGAAGTGAAAACTTGAATATTAACGTTGTGCATTTTTGATATTTTGGAATGGTTAGGGAATAATTTTGCACGAATTGCTTTAATTATCAGTATAAAAGTACTATCATGTATGTGGTAGAATACAATATTTATTTATTGCGCTGTCGCACACAAACATGACAATTAATTTTACATTAAAAAAGTTTATCTCTCAGAAAAATCAACTTTCATGAATCACGTTTAAGCGCACTTAGCGATATCTATTGTAAAGAAATCAACTTACATGAATCACATTTAAGCGCACCTAGCGACATCTATTGTAAAAAAATGCATTTTCTTCGCAATAAAGCTGCCACGTGGACGTCCTAGATAGAGACTTATTATTATAATACGGAAAATTAAAATATTACTATGTTTCGTCCAATAAATTACCAATTTTATTGTGTGTCATGCCCATATTTAGCCCACGTGTCCAAGATCTTTTTTGTAGACAATTTTACGATCTACAAACTTTGTTTGAACTATTTTTCGGTAGCTCTCATTGTTTCAGAGATATACGCAAAAAACGCAAATTTGTGACCTTTGACCTCGAATAAAAATAAACGCACAAACGGGATCGATGGGGACTTTTGGCATTTCAATTGTAATGTTGTATTCAAGGCCTGCACAAAAATCCAGCTTGTTGGGAATTAATGTAAACTGGAATGTCTATATTGACTGGACTATTAAGTTAACGCGGACTAAGTCGCGGACGGCCGCTAGTGAGCTATAAATTAGGGATGTCGAAAGTTGAAAAAAATATCGATATATCGATGTTTCGATATATCGATATTTTTTTCAACTATATCGGACCAATTTTAAAATCGGAAATAATAACAATACAAATTATAATTAAAGAAAGAATTATCAAAGTACCAAATTGCCGCTCACTACACTACATGACAGTACAGTATCTCACGAAAGATGACACGTGGAATAATAATGGAACGAAAATTAGTTACGATTTTTCCAGATACGAATTTAGTAAGATCGTGATATGCCACTAACAATTAAAAAAATATCGTTTTTGATACGAATTTCGATATTGGTTATTTTGTATTGATGTATCGATATATCGAACCAAAATATATCGGCTAAAAATATCGATATATCGAACAAAAAAAAAATATCGATATATCGATACATCGGTATATTTTCAACAAGCCTACTATAAATACTAAGCCTGCTTTGTAAGAGGGTTCCCTTGCTAACCTTTCCGTGCGGAACTCTAAATACAGACCTCATGTTTTCCGGTCCAACCTAAATTGCTGTGTCTACATGTCTTTTGATTTGTATGCCTGCAACCGATTGCACAATTTTGCCATTGTCATTATTTCCGCTCAGCGAAATGAACAGAACAGCTATTTGCTTTTTTGGGCAAAAACACATCTCGTGCACCGATAATGAATAATTTTGATTTGAACTACAGCATACGATGAAAGGAGCTCGATGGCGCAAGTGGTTAGCGCGTTCGGCTGCGATCGTTGAAGTTAAGCAACTTTCGCAGTGGTCGATCATTGGATGGGTGACCAAACATTTACTATCTCGAGCCCCTCTGTGCTTCGGAAGGCACGTTAAGCCGTTGGTCCCGGCTGCATCTGCAGTCGTGAGCACCTACCAATCCGCACTGGGCCCGCGTGGTGGGTCATGGCCCAATCTCCCTATTCCATCCATAGGGAAGGCCTGTGCCCCAGCAGTGGGGACATTAATATAGCTGATGATGATGATGATACGATGAAAACGGGGCATCGCGTGCTATGTAAAAAACCGGCTAAGTGCGAATCGGAATCGCGCACAAACGGTTCCGTACCATAAAACATGGAAGACGGAAGCACAAATTCATGTTTAAATAAAAAAAAAAAAGAAATACTAAAAAAAAATTCACGCGGACCAGGCAGCAGACTGGACTCGAATCGCACCCTCCTCTATCAGAGCGAATGCACTGTCGATTATGCTACCGCGGCCCTGATGGCCGCGTCGAATTTGCTCTAGACTTTCTTAGGCTGCAAGGCAGCGCCATTTCTTCGCATTGTAGGTAATGCACAATGTCAAATGAATATCTTTATAATTATTAAACATTTGAAAAAAAAAAATAGCAATTATCTATATATATAAAACTCAAAAGGTGACTGACTGACATAGTGTTCTATCAACGCACAGCCCAAACCACTGGACGGATCGGGCTGAAATTTGGCATGCAGGTAGATGATATGACGTAGGCATCCGCTAAGAAAGGATTTTGACCAATTCTACCCCCAAGGGGATAAAATAGGGAATGAATATTTGTATGAAACTTTGTCAATTTTAAGCCGATCGGGCTGAGACTTTGCATGCAGGTATAAGAAGAATCATAGACAAATGTCATTGTGTATATTAGAAGCCTGAGAATACTTCAGCTCTACACCGAAGCGAAGCGAGGGCGGGCCGCTAGTAGTCTATAATATTAAGAAGACATCTAAAAATTCTATTTTTTATTTCAGAATGGTATATTGTCGTCACTTCCATATTTGGCGATGTATCTCCTGAGTTTTCCCATGGGGTCAATGACTGATCGTATACTGAAGAAGAATTGGCTCAGTGTCACTAACACGAGGAAGTTATTTAACTCGATAGGTTAGTTCTAGTCTTAGATAGATTCTGCCACAGGAAGTGAAAGTCACCCAACAATTTGGAAAGGCTCACCGCGTTTAAACAAAATAAGGGTGAGGCCAAACGAGCGTAATTTTGTGAGTGGTGAGTCGCAGAATTTCGGTCGCAGAAATTCTGCTGCATTCGGTTTCATACAAAAAGGCAGTTGGTGCCACACGACAACGCTAAATGAGTTGTCTGCCGACTCAATGCGCATAAGTTCGTCCGAATTTCGGTCGGGGTGAGGGTAGGGCAAAGAAGGGGAGTGGGGAAGCAACAGTTTGTTACAAGTTGCGTGGTGTAATAATTCTTGAAAAACACGTAATGGCATATGATGGTACCTACTTTTCAAACATATCTGGATTTGCACATAAACGTTCATATAAAGTATGGAACTGTCCACATATCAGCCTCTGACTATTCAGTGGGTTTACCTAGTTTCTTTTTCTGGCCTCATCTTCTGAATATGCTTCGTAAATACACAATATTTTTAATGGATCCATTGCACTCGACGACAAGAACACCCCGTACTAACGCTAAATAGTAACTGAATAAATTACGTTCGTATGGCAGCTCAACAGAAATTCAGTTGAACGTAAAATAAGTGACCGAAAATAAGCGACTCACAACTCACAAAATTACGCTCGTTTGGCTTCACCCTAAAGATAAATTATCAGACAAAAGCAGGGCTTATTGTTGTTAAAAACAGATAGCCATGATGCAGAATAAGAAAGGAAAAAAAAAAGATAGGTTAGTTAGTAATGATATTTTATACTATCCTAATGGTAGCCATACACACTACGAGAAGTCGTTACGATTAGACCGTCCGAACGGTACCGATAAATCGTAGCGTGTATGTTATAAAACTGCACAGTTTCCTATACGTACGCCACGTACGATAATCTGTTCCCTTCGAACTGTACAGTCTGATCGTAACGATTTCTCGTAGTGTGTATGGCTACTATAAGACTGCCGAAGTAGATTTCCGTGCTCCTTTTGCATATATAAACTTTAATTATGAAAAATTCTTAGTCCTTCTTATGCGTGGCGTCTGGACGCCCAACTCGACTGGTCGTGGCGAGACTGGGTGCGGACAGTGCTATTATGCAGCACTGGACTCGCGTCCATCTCTTTTTTCTTTTTTTTTTATGCCACTAGGTGGCATATGAGCAGACGGCTCACCTGATGGTAAGTGATCACCGTCGCCCATGGACACTTGCAACACCAGGAGTATCACAAATGCGATGCCGGCCTTTAAGGAAGGAGTACGCTCTTTTTTGAAGGTTTTTGGGTCGTATTGGTCCGGAAACACTGCTGGCGACAATATATTCCACAGTTTTGTCGTACGTCACACAGTTATCTCGTCAAAGACACAAAAATTAATCACAACCTTTTTAATATTTATTAATTAATTTATTTTTAAATTTGAATTGTACTAACATAGTTTTAAGCTTCCATTGTTACTAACACTATATGGGTCAGGCCGCCATTTTTTGCTGATATGGCGCAGAAGTATTGTGTTGGTGGCGTAGAAACTTCTACGCGTCGGTGACGTTGAGTAGCGTATAATAGTGACGAATAAATGTTAAGGTAGGCATACACATGCCAAAATATTAAGATTAAATTATGTTGTATAACGTAATTGCACCAATTATGGACACTTTAAGGATGAAAAGGTGGGTTTTTGCAGGATTATTCCTAATATATCAGGATTTTGTTTAAACATCAATGTTGAGCTTAATGTCCGTCTTTTTCCCTTTATGCTTATGCCGAAAAAGTTAGAAATAACCGCATAAAAATGAGAGATATCATTAAAATATAAACACGGTTTTTTAAGCTAGTAATGGACAAGGAAAATCATTTAATGGACATCCAGTGATGAACATGCACCAAATATGGACATCTAATAACGAACACAATTTAATAATGGACCCCCACTAATGGACCAGCTCGTTGAATTTAGAATAAGAAGTAGTTCCCTATATCTAAGTAAATAAAAACATCAACAATTTTATAATCAACTAGACATTTATTATATTTTTATTTTTTAAAGCATTTATTTGCTAGATTATAAATCTAAAGAAAATTTTTACTAAAAAAAATTCCACGCGGTCCAGGCAGCAGACGGGACTCGAAACTGCACCCTCCGCTATCCGGGCAGATGCACTGACCATTATGTTACCGTGATCTATGCCTTGCAGCCTAAGAAATACAAGCTGAAATTACACGAATGGGTTTAGTTAGTATACATACATACACTCTCGAAAAACATTACCCTCCTTTCTTCGGCAGTCAGGTAAAAAGTTAGTATAATAAAAACGAGTGGATACCTACCTTTATTTGGTGGCGTAGAGGAGGTGACGAATATCTACGCTACCGTTGGCGTTGAAGTACCAAAATGGTGGCGTATTTCTACTTCTACGCTATCGTCGCGTTGAGAAAACCACTTATATCTCTGTAAATAAAGTATGATTTGAGTTGCATTATAGCTCCAAACATGGCTTTCACTTCTACTAACATGATGCACTATTTTTTTTCGTGTAACAATCAAACTTACTTTTTTATGCACAAAGATCTTACCTTGATAAAATTGTGTACACAGACTACACCAGACGTTCACATGTCAACTGTCAAAAATATAGCCGCTCATCAAGCCGCTGTCCACATATTACAGAAACTCAGCGTTGCCACTTCCCGATTTGAACTTCACCGATTCCTAAAGTTTAATAGAACACGGAAAATAGGTGGCGTTGACAAAAGTGGCGTATAAGTACAGTTTTTGACGAAAACTTATTTGAAATCATTTTCAAGGAAATTCTTAGGATAAACGTTGCTAAATTAAAAGCACGGATAGCTATTAATATAAGTATTCTTATAGTATCACCCATGTCTCAAAAACTGACATACTTTTTGCTACTACGATAGTTAAAGTGCACCTCTACCTCGGCGGATAGAAGTTTTTATGTAATTTTACTACCTTTTTTCAGATTTCATTCGAAATATATTTTTTGTTTATTATCTGACCTGAAATAATCATAATGTCCACTTGAGTCACTTTGTTGCTTAATCCAAAGCCGTCATCGAAAATCCGATATCTATAATACTTTTCAAAATACTGACCGCGGAGAAAACAGTTTTCAAAATCAGCAAAAAATGGCGGCCTGACCCATATGGACTCTGGTTCGAAATAAACATATTTATTTTATTTTTTATTTATTTTATGCAAAAGGTGCTTGAAAGGAGCAAGTTATTTTTCCATTTTATGTATAATGTTATAATAATGCAATGCAAAAAATTGAGTCTATTCTATTCATATTTTTAAGCATTCAATTGCGGAAAAACATTTTCTTTCTTTTCTAAGAATTTCCTGCAGCCTAAGAAATGCTGGCAGAAATTCGGCACGGTCATTAAGGTCTCGTTAGTAACATTGGTCTGTGCGTCCGCCTGGATAGCGGAAGATGCGGGTTCGAATCCCGTCTGAATCCTGGACTAAGTGGAATATTTTCTAGTACAATTTTCTATAGACTTAATCTTTTAAGGTGTTTTATTGGGCAAGTCGAGCTTTCATGCGAAGGTTGGAGATTCTATAGACTTCTGTATAAAAATATACTAAAATTATCTATTTATTTATTTATTTGATCACCAACATAATAAACACTGACACAACAATCTAGCAGGTAATGATAAAATACTTATGCATGACATTAAGTCATTACAATTATAGGTGAAGACCGCATGCGTTATGGAATAGAAGCAACAAATGCTGGTAAACTCAATGAAAAAGCCTTTAAAAGCTTTGTAAGATAAAAAAAATACATATAATCAACAATGTCCCGGTTAAAATCAATGCATTATAAGAAGCGTTATAATCTATATATATAAAAATGAAACCCGTTTTCCGTTGTCACGACATAACATGAAAACGGCTTGACCGATTTGGCTGATTTTTTTTTTGTAATTTTCTAATATTCTGTACAAGGTTCTAACGGAAAAAAATATAAAGAAAATCTCTCAGAAAAATTGATAAATATAACGTAATTAATGTCAACGTCATTCAATTTAAAACAAAAATCTGTGGTAAACTGTGACACCACATCGATAACCACGCTGGCAAATGTCAACGTCATTCAATTTAAAACAAAAAAATCTGTGGTAATCTGTGACAACACATCCATAACCGCGCTAAAAATATAGGTACTCATACATAAGATATGTCAGCTATACAAAATGAAGTAGTGCATCAAAGCTACGCTAAGGCGGTACGAAGTTCGCCGGGACAGCTAGTAATCTATAAATAAAAGAAATAAATACATGCCCATATTTTAGGACTGTTCGGACCCGCCATTGCTCTGATTGGACTGTCATACACCTCAGCGAACAACCTCGTCCTGGCTGTCATCATGTTGACGCTGTCTGTCGGCATTAACGCTGGTCAATACACGGGATACATGGTAAGTTATATCACTATATATATTTATTCTTCACTTATTATGGTATTTTATTACAGTCTCCCGTGAGAGTTAAATATCACTTAAAAAAATCCACGCGGACCAGGCAGCGGACGGGACTCGAACCCGCACCCTTCGCAATCCGGGCGAATGCGCTGAGCTTTGCATTCACCCGGATTGCGAAGGGTGCGGCTTCGAGTCCCGTCCGCTGCCTAGTCCGCGTGGATTTTTTTCTAGTAAACTTTTCTTTAGATTTAGAAATCTAGCAGTTAAATGCTTAAAAATAAATAAAAACATAGTTAAATATCATTTTTTAAGCGTAAGTACTTACTTTAACTGTTCAGTGCCCTTAGCACGAACCAAAATCGAATTCGAATAGTTTGCGAGAGCGGAATGTCATTGTCAAATGTGTATTGATTTTAAGTTCTCGCTACGTCCATTGCAGAAAGGACATGGTAAAATTTTGTATGAGCGACTGCCCTAGCAATGTATAAATATTGTACTTAGTAATATATAATGCAGAATGGCTGAATATTTATTATTTCTATGAAAAAGGGCTCAGGATTTTTTGATAAAGTCACAATCTTGAAAATTATGAGATCTCCTACGACGTCATTACCTTGCTACATTTGATAAAAGATGTTGGCAATTATTTACAGAGACTTCGAATTGGCATTTTCTTAGAATATTTCTTCACATTTATCTGATTAACACTTCACAAAAAGCATTTTTAAAAGTGAAAATGAATACAAATTATTTGTTGTTGTCGGCCTGACATGAAATCTGTGAGGTTTTATTATGTTCATTGGCAAAAATCAAAGCATTAATTATCATACAGCCTTTTCTCAAGCCTGATCAGAAAAATAAAATCTATTATTTTAGGCCTTCAGTGATTTGTTATAATAAAAATAAGAGTAAAATATGTCATAGTTTTTAGAAGTTTTGATTTAATATTGTTTATTTCGATATACTGACAGAAATATTTTTAGTATATATTTATTGTTCATTTATTTGAGTAAAACGGAACATTTTCCTTTGAAAGAGACATGAAGTCAATTTTTTACTTTAAATATTTGATTATTTCACGAAAGTTGTATGAGAATTATAAATACGTAATAATTTATAAAAAAACATTATATAATTATGGGCTAGTGCAAAATAATTATACACGTTAAGGGCAGTTTCTCTAGCCAAGTCCATTCCACACAAAATTTGATGGTAAAATTTTGTATGAGCGACTGCCCTAGCAATGTATAAATATTGTACTTAGGGCTCAGGAACTTTTGATAAAGTCACAATCTTGAAAATTATGAGATCTCCTACGACGTCATTACCTTGCTACATTTGATAAAAGATGTTGGCAATTATTAAAGTTGTATGAGAATTATAAATACGTAATAATTTATAAAAAAACATTATATAATAGGCTAGTTGACTCATGTCGAATTGTATTAAATAAATGTTTATTTCTTACAGTATTTGGTCTAAGGAACCTAAATATATCGATTTCACTTCATAAACGCAGAAGATTGCTGTAGAAATTTAACTTAAAAAAATATTTTTTAGTCTATATTTTTTAAACACTAAAAACGCTATTCGCCACATCCGCCATGATTGTGACGTCTCTTTCAGTAAACAACTAAATGTCATTTGCGTGTTATTGTGGGTGGATTCTTTAGTCTGAATAAATTTATCTTAAAACACTTTTAACTTTAGAAAAGTTTCCGTTTACTGTTTTTTTTGACATAACTAATTATGGATGCCGGCTTTGTGAAAGCAGAAAGCACAAATCTGCCAAGAATTGACGCATTGATGGTTGGTGATTTTTTTGCACTAAACCCCGATTTCTGCTCTGCGGAGCAGAGAAACGACAAGGCATCTATGTAAGTACAGTGCATTTAATATTACAATGTAGTAATAAACATAAAACTGATACAACATATGAATAAGTGTAATAAAGTTGCGTAGGTTAATTTCTTTCGGCACTTTAATCCATAACATTCCTGGAGTCTTCAAGGATGTGTTTTTATATTCTCGTACAATACAATAATAATAATTACTTTATTTTTTGTGGTATTTATTAGAAATTGTGTTCTTTTTATTATAAACTTAGATAAGTTATTTTCTACGTGCTTACGAGTTTTTGTTTACTATAATTGACATCATAGCATAGACAATCTATAGACTAAAATGGCCGACAGCGTTTTTGTATGTCCATGAAAATTCTATTTTAAAATTAAAGATTTGTAGCCTTCTAGGTCTCAAAAAAATACAATACATTTTTTTCGGTCTAATAGAACATTTATTCACCATTTACAACCTTTTTCCAAAAAGGGTCAACTAGCCTATTATGGGCTAGTGCAAAATAATTATACACGTTAAGGGCAGTTTCTTAGCCATGTCCATTCCACACAAAATTTGATATTCATATTTCGGACTCGAAAACTATTCGAATTCGATAATGGTTCGTGCTAGTGCCATTACGCACGAGCCGCGAACCGCGGCGAATAGCAGTCGCGCGGGTGTTCATTTGTATGGGTGCGGCCAGAGTGCACTCCTGATTCAGATTCAGATTCAGACTCAGAAAACAAAGCGCGAGAAAAAGCAGGCAACCTGCTTAGACTACACTGTTTATTTCTCGCGCTTGTTTTCAGAATCTGAATCTGAATCTGAATCTGAGTGCACTCTGGCCGCACCCTTAGGCTCACCCGCGCGGTTACGCGGATGGTCGTGCGTTGTCATTACTTAATGGTAGCCATACACACTACGAGAAATCGTTACGATTAGACTATACCGTCCGAACGGTACCGATAAATCGCAGCGTGCATGTTATAAAACTGCACAGTTTCCTATACGTACGCCACGTACGATAAACTGTTCCGTTCGAACTGTAACAACACACTCCAATATTCTACAAAAGTGCACGAAGGAGATCCCACTCCTGGAGGCACCTATGGATAGAATATTAAGTCAACACGTCTTTGATCGAAGATACAATATCCAACTTACCGCGGAAAAGGCAGAAAAGGCCGGGGAAGTTAGAATATACACGGATGGCTCCAAAACCAACAGTGGCACTGGAGCCGGTGTCTTCTCAAACGACCTGAATATTAAAATATCTACAACCTTAGGCAAACAAAGTACAATCTTCCAGGCGGAATGTATTGGCATTACCAGAGCGGCACAGGCGGTTGCAGCCAGTTCGAACTGTACAGTCTGATCGTAACGATTTCTCGTAGTGTGTATGGCTACCATTAAGCATATGGACAGTGGAAAGGCGAAATCGCTTATATGTCACTTTGGTCGAAAATGAGTAATAATATTATGTACATGTATATATCATTTTATTCAGATTTTTTTCTGCATCGACATGTTTATGTTCCGTGAAGATTTGAGTACTTTTCTGACGCTTAACCAATTACGTATCGCCTGCAGGCCAATCGCCTAACCAGATTGCTTTGGAAAACGCTATCGCTTACGATTTCATTTTGTTATTTCTAACCGCCGAAGGTTTTCAAATACCTCACGCTCATTTTCTTTAACATTGTTATTACCAATGCAAAAGAAAAAAAAAGAGCGCGAGGCATTTGAAAACCTCAGGCGGCTAGAAATAACAAAATGAAATCGTAAGCGATAGCGTTTTCCAAAGCAATCCAGTTAGGCGATTGGCCCCCTGGTATACCTCTAGAGGCACCCGCTAATTCTCGGCTTGAGGTCCCCTTAGGATCTCGCCGTCCCCAAACCCGGTGACGCCGTAAAGGTCATCTGCGACCAACAGCATACACAATCACAAAATTAAAAGGCTCATCTTCATAAACAGACAAGCGACTACACTGTAAACATAGGACTGATCATAACTGTTGTTAGCAATAAATTTGGTCAGTAAACTTGTGGTTTACAAAGTATGTAAAGCAGAGAGCTGACTCAGAACTCAGAGCAAGGGTCATTTCTAATTTACGTTTATTTATTATTTTTTTGGTGGACCAACAGCTATATATAAAAAAAAAGGGTTAATAATAATAATAATAATATACTTTTATTTCAGACACAAGATCCATTCCTACAATTTACAAATTAATTCATCAATTTCAATTTATAATTATATTAATATTATATATACACAGAAGTCAAATTACCACATTCACAAATACAAAAACAAAATACATTAGAAAGTATCATGATTCAGGATGCTAATTGCACCCATCGTTTATACATATTCGTATTGAATATTCTCTCCGCCAGACCTGATATAATAGAGTTCCTACACTCCTCAACCCTGGACATAAATTTGGCGATGCGGTTTCTTTGAATGGCATTAAATGAATTTATTCTAGGCTCAAAGTACATTTTGAAGCGCTACAACAACGCTCCAACCCCATAAGTTGCCTAAATATATTATTGTAGGCCACCCGTATTCCATCATACGCCTTTTTTGTATAGTTGGTCCACAGTTGACAAGTGTAGAAAGTCTGACATTTAAAAACTTAAATAATACAAAAACCAATTACAGGTAATAAGAGTCCTATGGGGACTTTAAATGACGTGGACCGTAAATTTTAGTGAAAACTGGTATATTGATAACAAAAACAGAATTTAAACAGCGACGTGGTGTTAAATTCTGAACGCGGTTGGGACCCGTGCGAAGCTGTGCGTGGAGCGTAAAAAACTGTCCGCCACCGCAGCCGCTCCTCCCCTTGGTCGTGGCCCCTCCTCCTGCACGTCTCCTTCCGTGCTTAAGACTGGTCGGTGACAACAGGTGTTTACCAATAAAAATACATTACAACATCATCATCATCATCAACCCATGTTCGTCCACTGCTGGACATAGGTCTCCCCTAATGCACGCCACTGCTCCCGATTTTGTGCTACTCCCATCCAGCCCACTCCAGCCAGCCTACGAATATCATCATCCCATCTTGTCTCAGGGCGTCCTACACTACGTTTACCGAGTCGCGGTCTCCACTCAAGAACTTTCCGGCTCCAACGTCCATCAGTTCTGCGGC